GGGGCCGGAGCTGGTCGTAACCCGAAAAATTCGCAAGCAGAGGCGTTCGTATCCCGAGGTATCACTGTATATTAAAATTATGTATACATGCTCTTTGCATATATAAGGGGATGGACTGGGAGATCAGCAGTCCTTCTAAAAATAACATTTACAATAAATGGGGAAAGTGAACTAGATAAATGGCCCCAAATGCACATGTAATAAACAAACAAATATTGACTTTACCAACTAGAACCATCCACATTTCAATGATTTCATAAAGGTAAAGATTTTTCTCTCTATGCACAGATTATTTAGTTCACAGGTAACTCTTGTTCTAATCCTGCCAATGCTTACAGTTTCACAGTTCAGACATCTGGTTTCATTGGTCAAGGTTCCCTGAAAAATCTCATGCACCCAGGTGAGCTCCTGTTTGTTGTTCTCTTCTGCTTCATTCATGTTTCCATTTTTCAATTTGCCATTTTGTTTTTCCTGCTTCTTCTCCTCTTGCAGAATGTCAGCAACGGTGTTTAGTAAGTAGTTCAAAAACTCATGAGCATCCTGCTGCATGTAGTTGTCAAAGAGATCTGCAAAAAAAAAAAGAGGGCAGGGCGTATTCTATTTATTTATTTAAGAGATGGATAGAGCTGCTCATCTGGTAGCACACACAACTCTTGGTGGCTAACAACAGTGATAAAGACACAAAACCAATACAGAAAGAAAAAAGAAGAAGAAAATAAGATTAAGAAAAACCAGGTGCTCAACCCATAACTATACCCATTCATCTCTTCAGTCCCCAGGCTCCAACCTTACTGTCCCAATGCCAGCTCCTAAGGCTGAGGCTGGCATCAGGAGTCAGGACAGTTGGCACACTTTAGGATCCTAACCCTCGTGACTCAATAGCAGATCATGAATTCTGTACATGGATGCCGTGGGGTTTCACGATCATTGCAGGAAGTGCTTTGGGGAGCAACCCCTGGGCAAAGGACATTTTCACAGTGAAAGAAAGAAATGTCCAAGCCGCTTTGTGCATGTCAAAAAAGGGTTTTGTTTCTGCTAGGATTTGTCCCACCTTGGATCCAAAGAGAGAAGAAGATCTAAATTCAGTCCTAGTGTAATCTGTGGCTCAATTCTTTTACACCCCAACTGTATGCAATACAGCACAGAAGACTGGACTCTAGCACACCACCCTGAGAGACAATGGAAAATGTGGCCTCTGTCAACTCTTCTGAAAGGGCACTGGAGAAGAGTGGGCAGGAAAGGTGCACACTGCAGCTCTTTGCAGGAGCAGCCACTTCCTGCCCTTGACTTTCTCACTTGTCCTGGCCTCGTGGCGCAGAGATCTAAGCTGGGCAAAACTGGCTGAGGCTACACAATTATTAGCAGCATACCTGGACGGTACGCTACTAATGCTGAACCAGTTTGGTGTAGTGGTTAAGGCATCAAGCTAGAACCTGGGAGACCGTGAGTTCTAGTCCTGCCTTAGGCACAGAGTCACTTCCTTGTGAGATGGGCAGTGACCAAATTTGAAATATAAATAAATAAATAAAAATAAAGCCAATTGGGTGACCTTGGGCCAGTCACTCTCTCTCAGCCCTAGGGCGCAGGCAATGGCAAACCACTTCTGAAAAAGCGAATATGTGTAGCTCAGGGTTGAACTGTGGAGTCCTTGGGGTTCTCTGAGCTTGG